GGTGGGCCACACTTAATGACCGGTTGCTTAGTAACTGTTTGAATTTATGACGGACCCCCCAAAAGGTACATGTGACCTAGATTTGAATTTCTGACTTCTGCCCTCCACAGTTACATGATTGCGTTTTGGGCATTTGGCAACCAGTCCACATTTACAGCTGCCTGCAGCATGCCAAAGTCACATGACTGCAATTTATGATTTTTCCCCCCCCCTGGAATCCAGTGTTTACTTTCAGTTTCCAGCAAACAAACACCCATTGCAAACAATAGATTTGTTTAATGACTGTGGCATTCCCCTAATGACTGTAGTGTTTCCTTAACAACTACAGCAAAAACATGTAAAATTGGGTCAGTCATGTGCCAAGCAAGATTTGCAATCGTAATTGCAGGCTAAATTACGGTTATAAATTGAGGACTATTTTTACCCATGTAATGAAACCCATCATGTTAATAATTTAGAGGGCGAAAGAGTGGATTGGCTCCCCTTGGACATGTGCTGGCATGAGATAATGGAAGTTGCACATCTGGAAGTACAAGGTTAGGTAAGCCCAATCAAAGTCATCTCCCACTGCAAGCTGTCACATGATACAATACAGACTGTCCAAACAAGCAGTACTTTTTCAGACTTATTAAGATCTAGATCAGGGGTGTCCAACCTTGGCAACTTTAAGACCCATGGACTTCAACTCCAAGGATTCCTCAGCCAACCAGCCATGCTGGTTGAGGAATTCTTGCAGCTGAAGTCCACAAGTCTTAAACCCCAAACTAGATTTTTTTCCAAGGATGGTACAGGTAGTCTTTGACTTACAACAGTCCACTTAGTGACCGAAGTTACAATGCACTGAAAAAAGTGACTTATGACAGTGGTGGTGAACCTATGGCACTGGTACCAGAGGCGGCACTCGGAACCTTTTCTGTGGGCACTCATGCCACTGCCCCAGCCTTGCCTCCCCCCGCGACCCCCTCAGCATCAGCCCCCCTGGAGGAGAGTCACCCCCAAGCGTGGCCCACGCGGAGCAGCGCAGCCAAGGACATGGCAGCCAGGCAGCATAGACAAGACTCTGCCCTCACGCCCCACCGCGCAGTTAATGCTGCAGGGCGCGGGGAGAGGGCGTGGCCATGGCGCTGCTGGGCTGCCTGGGCGATCTGCGGCGGGCCCTGGAGGCGGTGAGTGGCCCTGCGGGCAGGTGGGGTGGGGGCGGGGCAGGGGGTGGAGTGGGGCGTGGCCAGTTTTTGGGCACTCGGTCTCTAAAAGATTCGCTATCACTGACCTATGACATTTTTCACACTTGATGACCTTTGCAGCATTTCCCCGGTCACGTGATCTAAATTCAGATGATTGGCAACTGACTCATGTTTATGACGGTTGCAGTGTCCCGGGGTCATGTGATCACCTTTTGTGACCTTTTGACGAGCAACGTCGACGGAGAAGCCAGATTCACTTAACAACTATGTTATTAACTTTTGATTCACTTAACAACTCTCGCAAGAAAGGTCATAAAAAGCAACAAATGTTTCACTTAGCAACAGAAATTTTGGGTTCAACTGTGGCCATAAGTTGAGGACTACCTCTACTTGCTTCGGATTTTTTTTTTACCTGCTGTCAAGTTTATATCATTAGATTCAAAGAAGTAATGATGGCATCCTGGGGCTATTTTATTCCCCCCTCCCCTGCACAATTTGGCAATACTTTTTTTTCAACCACTAAAATATCACAAAAAGTATGTAAGCAAATGCTGATCAGGCCAAGTGATGGGGGGGGGGGGAAACCCCAAAGCAAACTATGGGCACAAGATTAGCATTTTAGATCTATTCTAATTGGGAGTACATTTTTCTTTCTTTCTCCTCTTTTGCATACCTGCACAACCACATTGTAAAAATATTTTAAATATGAAGTTTTCCATAGCTCTTGCCTTTAGTGGCCGATATACAACTCTGTGTAGAATTAAAGATACGCTTCCCACAGAGATTTTCTCACCCGGCATTAGGAAGAAAATTTAGCCTGAAAACAAGACAAAAACTGTACTCCCCCTGTACATTTTTTTATGTTTACATATTATTAAGAAAGATTAAACACTTTTTGGAAAAAAAGGCTAAAAGACAAAACTGTACAAATTTACTAAAACACATTTTAAGTACATAAAAAGATCTGTTTCATAAAGAGTGTTAATGAACAGCTGCAGGTGTTTCAGAAGTGTGAACAGCAAGAACTCACACACACGTTGGCAGACTCCACATTTCAACTGTGCAAAATCACAAGTTCAGTGATCTAATTGCCCACCCTCTATGAGCCAAAATGCAGATTTCTAAGGTGATGGGACAGCGTATATCAAGGGGTATATTCTTTGGGAAGGGGCTGAGAAGGAAATGAGGTATGTGTATTTGAACAAGGACATCCTGCTAGCATCCTGAAAGCTAGATTCAATCTATCAGGCCTCTTAGGTCTGTCCAGGTTAGTTTGTAAGGATGCGCGTCTTGCGTCTTTACGGTAAGAAATATTTTTTATTTTTTGGTTTTATGTAGGAAAGAGAGTCTTTTCTAAATACGAACCTTGACTGCATATGCACTAGCAATTCTTTTCTGGAGGCTGAACACTGCTTAGGAAGAGGGGGGAAAATCTGTTAATTGGAAAATATATAGCTTTCTGTCCCTCAACTATACATAGAGAAGCGAGCCTAGGAATATGGACAACAGACATCCCTGAATTACGGACTGGAGGAATAAACCCATTTTCATCCAAGATTTGTCAAAAAAAAAAAAAAATTAAGCTTCTTGCCTTCCGACTCAAGATTTATTTATATCTAGTTTAAAGATGCAGTGGGAAAACTGGGAGAATCAGCTCGTCCAAAAGGGTAAATAATTGTACAGATCTAACTGCTTCTCGACGCCTTCCCTACCAACCCCAACCCTACATTTTTGGCACTCCAGAGGGTTTTTTTAAAATCCTAAATAGATGTGAGAGGGGGCCTTGCAGTTTTTTTTTTTAAGATCCAAATCACGCACAATGTATTTCTTCAGGAGTAAGTAAATGTTAAGTCTGTGCTGACATGAAATAACAAGCATTTGTTGCTATTTTCTGAGGGAAAAGGAAAAAGAGGGGTGGGAACTGCTTTTTGCCAGGATCTGTTAAGGAATGCTATAAACAGACCTACATTCCAAATAATAGACAAAATTAAAGTTTAAGAATACCAGCTCCTCCTCTTTCAGTTCTTTTAGTTACTACTTATCCTGTACTTTCCTTCCCCTATTTCTCTCCCAGTACATTACAAACAACTTTTCTTTTTACACATCAACCTAGATCAGAAACGAACTGGGTTGCATTGTTCTTGAAAGTAGCAAGAGCACATGATTAAGGGGATATTGGTTATAGCTTCTAGATGATAAATAGTGCTAAAAAAATCCATAAGAACTCACTGAGCTAGTAACAAGATAAAACTATTTCCTTTTAAAACTCACACGCCACATACCACACTAGAAGCAGGGTTGTGTCCCTGCCTTAAAAGTAAAATAATAAAAAAAGTAGTTCGAAAAGCTGGATTCTACTGTAACATGATTTATGCAGTCATTTGCATAATTGTTTTGCATAATCATTCCAAATTAGGTACTTTGCATAATACATGATCATTTTGCTAGCCACGGGAGGGCTAAGGGCGCAGAATTTCTACCCCAACCATTGAAAAACTTGTTTAAGCTTCCCATTTTGAGTCTGTGATGTGGGAAGTTATGTCCCATATCCTTTCAAGTGTATCTTTGCAGCTATAAGGCCACAGGGGTAGGCAACCATGGCTCTTTTATGACTCGTGGACTTCAACTCCCAGAATTCCTGAGCCAGCATGGCTCAGCTTGGAAACCTCTCCCTTTCCCCTCAGCATGGCTGGCTCAGGAATTCTGGGAGTTGAAGTCCACGAGTCATAAAAGAGCCAAAGTTGCCTACCCCTGTATTGGGGCTAAAAGCTTTCTCATTCAAAGATCTTGAATGCCGAGATTCTCAGAAGCTGAATTCTGCACCTGATACAACTCTCTACATTCTAATTAAGAGTCTTGGAAGACCAGAATGTAGCCTATCTCAAAGAAATCACATAAATCCACATCAGGCCAGCTGTTTTTCCAAGCCGCCATTTGTCCTCATTTCCAAAGACCTTCATGACCCAAGAGTTGAAGAGAGAGGTGAAGTCGCCTTCCCCAAAGGGGGGGGGAATGAAAAATCATGATTTTACCCAAATAGACAATGTGTCTTGAGGAAAAACCAAAGGATTACCCTGGAAAAAAAACATGCACCTTTTACGCGACCAAACAGGCACTTTAAACACTGACAGAGGCCGATTAGCATAAGCTTTGCTCCAATATGAATTCTCATAATCCTGAAGAATGCAGAGCCCAAGTTCCCTAAAGTGACTTAAGGAAGGTAACACCTCAAAAGTTTACTTAGCCAATTTGCTGTGTTCTTTCCATACTGCAAGCAAATGGGGCAACGTTTGCCAATCTTAGTAATTTTATGATGTGTGGACTTCAATTCCAAGAATTCCCCGGCCAGCTATGCCAGGGCAATAGAGCCTTCATAAAAATATAGGCACATGGCATTTTCAGGGGCGGTTTTAATTAGCAAGGAGGCAGGCCTGGCTTTCTCTCTTCCATCCCAACCTCCCTATACCTTCATTATATGGACTGATTTCTTTTATTCTTTCTCTTTTAAATAAATCTTATTTGAAGGGGCCCTTGTTTTATCCACGTCATACAAATCCAAATTCTGAGAAATAAGAAGGGCTGCCTCTTAACAACCCTGTGTGTTTACTTACATAGACATCCCTGCAACCTAGGTGATACACACCCACACACACCCACACACACCCACACACACCCACACACCAACCTTAAAAAAGAGCTCAGAAAGGCCATGCCAAATTGTGGGTCTAAGAAAGGTAACCTCAATGTCATCTCCTAGAGGGCTTGGAGAAGTGTTCGCTGCCCATCTTTTTTTGTTAAAAAAAAAAGCTGAGTGTACAAAATGATTTCCATCTTCTTCCCAAGTGAAGATAGTAGGTTCACAATAGACTGGCCAGGCTGGTGGTAGGTCCATTTTGTGCCTGGAACTGTACTGGTGGGGGCCCATCTGTCCACTGCAGGCAGGAAAAAAAACAAAGAATTAGATGATATTTATTGACTGGTGTGTGGTGATTCAGCTGATAATGTCATGTTGCTTTTAAAACAAACGTCAAGTTTTAAACAATTTATATCACAGAAATATTTGCGCACAGCTTTGAAGCAGCAAAGGACAACATGAAAATTACTGCAATTTCCATGATTTCTCGTTATTGCTGTGCTTGCTAGGACTGACCAGATAAGCAGAGATTAACACCCAGATTAATACCAGATCAATAATCAAACAATAAACAATACCCCAATCAAGAAACCATCAGGAACACTCCCATCAACACTGAAAGGGCAAATCATTTGTATATAAATGATGATGTTTCCTACTTGGATAATGTCTGCAATCAAACAACTATGCACAGAGAGCATAAAGTTCAGTTAAACCCTAAACTACAAATATCTTCTACTGAACAAGGTTAGATTTACTTATTTACTTATTACATTTATATGTCATCCATCTCACTAACAAGCAACTCTGGGCAGCTTACAAACAGCATAGATACCTAGGTGACCAGGCTGCTCAATCCTACTTTACTCTGCTACTACCCTACCCTACTCAGCTGCTTAATAAATCCAAAGGAGATTAAGGTCTCTTATTTACTCAATTTGTGTACTACCTTTCAACTATAGGGCAGAGATTTCAGTCAACACTCCTCAAAAACCATGAACCAGAATTCCAAAATAATAAAAATTTTGTGATTTTTAAGCTTTCCCCCAACTACTCCTAAAACATTCACATTTTGTGAATTTTAGAACTTTGCAACATTTTGCTGCTGTGAGCTATATATTAATTGACTCTGTTACAATTATTATAAAACTGGATTTCATTATAGTATTTGCTCATTTTTTTATATGGATCTGCCCAGTTGGAATAGTTTTTGGAGGATAGCAGATAAATGTTGTTAAATAAGCCTTTCAATTAATCACATTTTGGCTTTGGCTTGTTTTTTTAACAACAACAAAATCCCAGAAGGCACTGATTTCCATCCAAAGACCAAAAATGTACTGTTTTAATTATAGTCCACCCACTACTTTCTGTATTCTTTAAGCCTATTGCTGTCCTAAAACGAGGCCAGCGGAAAAATCGGGAAAAGAATGCCCACAATGTCCCACCTTAATTTTTATAGGATTAATATTTATATGTTACTTATATGTAAGGGTGTAGGTCTATACATATGTTGTATATAGTATGTTTAAATGTGTGTTATGTATGTGTACACTTGAGAGCAAGCAACTAAATTTCATTTTTAATGTGTGCCATTGTGCCCACAGGAAAAAATGACAATAAAGGTTAATTTAATCTAATCTAATCTAATCTAATCTAATCTAAAGGTTTCAAAACAATTAGTCCCCGAGTTATGACTGTAATGGAGTCTGCCCATCACGGCTATAAGGTGTGGTGATCATCAAATGGGTCGTCCATGTGACTGACTCAATTTTATGACCTTTTTCATGGCAGTTGTTAGTTGTTAAGTGACATAATGGTTTGCTATAACCCGATTTTGCCGAAAATCAGAAATAAATGCTGGATTTCAGCAAAAACGCTGTAAAACCTGGTCACATGACTATGAGATGCTATAAATGGATATAAATGAGGGTCAATTGTTGAGTGGCCGAAGTGCGGTCACTTAACTCTGGGTAGAGGGCAGCCCCTGGAACTTCGGAAACAGACAGTAGGAGAAGTCTGTCATAACTCTGAACGATTGCTAAGTGGCCGGTCATAAGTCGAGGACAACCTACCATATTAAACTTGAGCAGCTAAGAGACAGAGGATCTCTCTTCTGGAATCTTTTGCTTTTCCCACCCGCTTCCCCATGGCACCCACTCAAGTTGGCATACGGCAAAGGTGAGGAACGATGACCCCTTTATGACTTATGCTGGCTCAGGAATTCTGGGAGTTGAAGTCCACAAGTCATAAAAGGGCCATCATTCCCCGCCCCTGGCATACAGAAAGCAAGGGCCAGAAAGAAAAAAAATGTGGCTAACGTACAGTGATAAGGTTGTGCTCTGGGAGGCTACAGGCCTCGATGTGGTCCTGGAGCAGCTGCTGGGAAAAGTTCTGATGCATTTGCGCTGCTTCATGGGCGTCGATGGCGTTCCCACATGCTTTGTTTAAGTCTTCGTTGGAAAGGAGGGAGAGAGAAACAGAGACACAGGATTGCAACTCCTTTGAAGAACCCATCCTCCCTCTTTATGGAGCAAATTACCCACAAACGGTACTCTGCATTAAATAACATTAATGATAAATATTATTATATTGTTATCATACCTTTTAAAAATGTAGCTATTGGGTCAACTCAAGCATACCTAATCCTCCCACCTCTTGTTTTCCCCACAACAATAACCTTGTGAGTTTGGCTGGGCTGAGAGAGAGGGACTGGCCCTAAGTCACCCAGTTAGCTTTCATACAGCATGTAAGGAAAACTTAGACCTCATTACTGGTTTCTAGACCAGGTATATAACACCACTACACCAAACCGGCTCTAATAATAAGTAAATATGATTAAAAGCATTCAGGAATTAGAAAAGACAATATATAGCTTTTTTTAAAGAAAGAAGTAGTACTTTAGAATCTAAATGCATTTTTATTTAACTAATTCGCTACGCTTTCCATTTCTTCAAAAAGAATTCATGGCTTTCTAAAATGTACCTGATAAAAAGAAGTACAAGCATCACAATCAAAGACTTTTATAGCAAGCGATTATCTCCTGGGTTACGTCGAGATGGCAATGCAAGTTATGATTAATATTCTGAATAGCCAAGTTGACACGGGTGAGAATGCTGAGTAAGTGCATGAAACAAAAATGATATTCAATGGAAAACCAACTACAGGTGCTCCTTGCTTAAAGACCACTTATTCAGTGACCACGAAAAGTTATGGTGGTGCTGAATGAGTGGTACTAACAACTGGGCTTCCGTGTTCCCACAGTCATGTGATCGTGATCTTGGGACTTGGCAACTGGCTCACAATTACTATGTCACAGCACTGTGGTCATGTGATCACCATTTGCAACCTTCACTGCCACCTTCTGACAAGCAAAATCAATGATCTGGCTTAATGTAAGACTATTTAGCCAATGTGGTTTGCAAACTATGGTTCATGTCCTAGCATGTTGTGCAACCCAAATCCCTGTGGTTTACTCAATAGCCCATCATTAAAGAAACAATAGTTTATCACAGTGTGCAAATGCAGCCATTGAATTATGGTCCACTGCATTAACTGACCTCTCAGGAGGGCCGATGACCATAGCTGCACAGACATGTCAGGGATCTTGCTGGCCAGCTGCATGGCTGGGACTACCATGTTGTTACTCTCCTAGAGATAAAACGGTCTTGATCATACAAATATGGCAATTGAACTTGGTTATGTTTCCTTGAATTTACTGACTGGGACAACCACATACAAATCAAACACAGGTTTGCAGGACACCATCTATCACCGTTCAGCCAAACCTCTTGGTAATCATATTATATACCAGTGGTGGCGAACCTATGGCACGGGTGCCGGAGGCGGCACTCAGAGCCCTCTCTGTGGGCACGCGTGCCGTTGCCCCAGTCCTAGGCCTTCAGCTGGGTTTTATAAAACCTTTTCGCTTTAGGCCTCCGCTGCCGTGTGCAAAAAAAAAAAAAAAAAAGGTTCAATCAGTTAATTTCAACTTCTCGCAGGAAGAAAAAGATCTTGCAAAGTTTGAATTGATTGATTGAACTTTTTAGTCCCACCCAGTCTGCCGTTACCACCGCAGCCACGCCCACCCAATTGGCCACACCCACCCGTTACTCAACAATGCATAAGTGGGTTTTGGGTTGCAGTTTGGGCACTCAGTCTCTAAAAGGTTCACCATCACTGTTATATACTTAGTAAATTTCCAAAACGTAAGGCCCATGTAACTCCTTCATTACGTGAGCTGCACCGGCTTCCAGTTTCTTTCCAGGTGCAATTCAAGGTGTTGGTAATTACCTTTAAAACCCTATACGGCACAGGGCCAGGTTAGAAATAGCAATAGCACTTAGACTTATATACCGCTTCACAGTGCTTTACAGCCCTCTTTAAGCAGTTTACAGAGTCAGCCTATTTCCCCCAACAATCTGGGTCCTCATTTTACCAACCTCGGAAGGATGGGAGGCTGAGCCAATCTCGAGCCAATGAGAATCGAACTCCTGGCAGTGAGCCAGTGAGTTAGCCTGCAATATTGCATTCTAACCACTGTGCCACCATGGCTAATTAGTTTATCCGTGGGACTGCCTTTCCCCAAGACCATCTACTCATCCCGCCAGGCCAGCTACGCTGGGCATGCTCCAAGTCCCTTCCCCTAAATATTGCCAAGGCAGAATCGCCTTACAGCGAGATGGGCAGCAAACAAATTTAATAAATAACAATAATAATCTGATGGGAGCTAGGAAGCATGCTTTTTCTGTGGCAGCCCCTGCCCTATGAAACATTTTGACCCCTGACTCTACCTGCCTAGCCTTCCATAAAGGTTGGAAGACCTGGCTCCCCCCCCCCAATGCTAATAGGATAGCATTAGATTCCTGCACATTAGAAGTTTGACTTGGCACCAGATTTTTGTTATTTTTAATGTTTTAATATATTTAGTTTCAAAGTTTATATGTTGCTTTAACTTTTGATTGGGAGAGGCCAAGAGTTGCATTTACGCTGAGTGACTACATAAATGTTTTAAATAAAATAAAATAAAATGTCCTACCCAGACAGTTGCCTTCATTTCCCTTCCCCCCCCCCGCAAAACAATGCATTTTTCCTTTCAATAAAGTTTTATCTAAATACATAAATGAGTAAGAAACAGCCTCTTTCAGAAAGGTTTGCCTGATTTGAATCAATCGAGTCTGTTTCAAACATTTGTCTACTATCTGAAAGAAAATCTGAAAACAAGACAGGACAGGACACGATGAATAATCTCTTATTGAGTTTTCAACTATGATTGCATTAGTTCTTCGTCACCATCACCACATTCAAAGATGCAGCAAAAATCATTAGTCTCGCCGAAAGAGGCAAGGCTAACATCCCGAGTCCTACAGGCCAGGCATGGGGATAACAACCGCAACGAGACTTAAATTAATCTCATTACAGGTACTCCCTGCTTAACAACTGCACTGTTTAGTGACCATGTGAAATCACAATGGTGCTGAAAAAGTAACTTCATTACTGCTCCTCAAACTTACAATGGCTGCAGCATCCCTGCAGTTATGTTAAGTGCCATTCATTCACAGCTTACATCTAACAAGCAAAGTAAATGAAGGAGCTAGTAGTAACATCGCAAAATCATGCAATGTCCCACTTAACCACCATGGGTGATTTGCTTAATGAATAAAGGCAAATATACATGTCCCAGGATAATGTTGCAGGATCCAATCTGGGTTGGTCAGCAGGCACCAGAGGTTGTCTTCAGCCCCTGAAGATGGGCTCCAGCATGACTCTAAAAGCTCGGAAGACTAAGCCTCTGGTGCCCGCTGACCAACCCTGATTGGATTTGCTTAATGGCCACAGTGGAACTGAGGTAAATTCGCTGCAATTGTGTGATATTTCTCTTAGTGACTATGTTTGGCTTAGTAATGGAGTAGCTGGTCTTAATTGTGGTCGTTAAATGAGGATTATTTGTAATTAATTTCTCACTGCAACTTCACACTTCTTCCAGAATACCGGTTTGACTATTTGCAATGGCAGTGTTTGTGGGATAATTTAGTGTACAGCAAAGAAATACAGAAATTATCAATCTTTCACATTTTATAAGGGGGAAAAAGCAGGAACATGTATAGCTACAAGTATTTTCTCAGAAAGCTTTTGGATTTTTGGTATGTATATGCATGTGATTGCCCTACATTGCTTCAAACAAATAAATCACAATTTGAAGATTCAGTTACTACAGAGGCCACAAATTTTCCAGCTAACCATATGACTTTCACCACCACCCTTCAGCTCACTGATATGCACATTGGCAAAACTTTGCATTAAAATTAATTTCACATTTTTATTTCATTGGCAAAAGAAAAAGTCAACACCACTGATAAAGATTTTATGACTTACCCTGTGGTTCCCTAACACGTAGAAGATGTGACCCAGAAGAACAAGAGAGCATGCTGTTAATCGGTTTAGATCTTCTGCATTTGACATTTTTAGTGTCTCTCGTAAAAAACGTCTACCGAAACAAAAAATTAAAAGAAAGAAAACATTTTGGGCAATGTAAGAGGTTTAACTAAAAACTGGCCTCTTCCAGCAACTATCTCAGCACCTCATTTGCAATCTGGACATTCCCATAGTTATCTATAACTCTGCTTTTTAAAGAAGCTTTAAGTTGCTGTATTACTGTAATCTCAGACTCTGCACTAATAATGAAGTAGTGGCCTGGAGGCATTTTATCCTTTCAATAATGAATATCTCAACAGAATTCAGACAGCTTTACTAATGTTTAATTTTTATACTTGTTCAGTTACTTGCAATTAAGTGAGCTGTCTGTTAACTACAGAGATTACAGGTGGTCCTCAACTTACAATGCTTCGTTTAGTGACCATTTGAAGTTACAATGGCACTGAAAAAAATGACTTTTCACCATTTTTCATTCATATAACCATCGCAACATCCTCATGGTCAAAATTCAGACACTTGGCAACTGACTCATATTTATGACAGTTGCAGTGTCCCAGGCTCATGTGATCAGCTTTTGTGATCTTTTGATAAGCAAAGTCAATGGGGAAGCCAGATTCACTTAACAACCGTGTTACTAACTTAACAACTACAATGATTCACTTAACAACTGTGGCCAGAATGGTCATAAAATGGGACAAAACACACTTAACTGTCTAGCTTAGCAAGAGAAATTTTGGGCTCAATTGTGATCATAGGTCAAGGACTACCTATACAGGAGTGGCCAAAATTGTGGAAACCTTTTGGGAAAAGTGTATTTTTGAGGTTTGATGGCTAATAACACCACTTTTTTTGGAGTAGTACCATAAAATTATATATCAATGGAAAGATAATTTAATCAAGAATGTAATGCAACATAGTTTGTTCAATTATCTGTACTGTATTCCATGAAATGTTATAGCCAAATAACCAGAAAAAGGAAGCACAACTTGCTTAGGTCGATCTCAGGTAGCTTTCCTTCATCTGATTGTAGCCAATGAGCATGAGTCTTTAGAGAGCCAATCGGGTGTCATCTTGTTTTGGCCATGAGCCAATCAGATCACAGTAGGATTCAGTTATTGATGTCATGTATTGAAGCTGAGAGGAGGACATTTGTCAGTGTGTGATGTGATCGCTATCAAGTTGGTTGGGGTTTTTTTGTGTTCTTTCATTGAGTGAGCTTGTAAAACGTAATAAAATTAAAGTAATGGTGCAAAGAGTTGACTGGTTGCCCAGAAAGCGATGTAAAATAGTATTATTAAGTGAACAAGGCTACAGTGATAAAGAAATTAGAAGAAAAATTGGTGGAAACTTAACCAAAGATGGCATTTTTACTGTACACTTTTCCCAAAAGGTTTCCACAATTTTGGCCACTACTAGTGTGCTGAGACTGGGGAAGCTCTCAAGATGATAGAGTAGAGAAAGGGGGGGGGATTTCCTGGCTAGGGTTGCCAGGTGTCCACTATTTGAGTGGACAGTCCGCTTTTTTCACATTATGTTCATTTTTTTTCACAAAATAGTGGACATTTTTTTTATTCAAAAGCTTTATGATGAAATGGTATGTAATCTAAAGCTGTACAGTCTACTTTTTTTATTACTTAACACACACACCCCCCCCGCTTGTCCGCTATTTTTTGGAAGCAGACCTGGCAACCCTATTCCTGGCAACCATACAGATAACTTGACAAGGGGACAGCGCTCATTCAGATGATTCAGTACAAAAAGGCAGCTTTCTGCTTAGATAAAGCAGAGTCTTAACAGAGTTTTTAGGTCTTATCAAATAGCAGTGCAACTGAGCAGAATCCCGCTTTTGACCTGTCTTTTCACTAAAAAGAGGAAATGCTTTGTGACTCACTTGGCTTCGTTGTACCTTCCTTGAAAGAAGGAGAACAGCCCTCGGATGTAGAAAGCGGCAGCTCGAAGACAGTGAGAGCTGGAGACAGAGTAGACACAGAGGCAAGTAAGCAAGGAGAGAAGCAACCTGGAACTAAGGAGAAACTTCCTGACAGTGAGAACAATTAACCAGTGGAACAACCTGCCTCCAGAAGCGGTGAATGCTCCAACACTGGAAGTTTTTAAGAAAAGACTGGACAGCCATTTGTCTGAAATGGTATAGGGTTTCCTGCCTGAGCAGGGGGTTGGACTAGATGACCTCCAAGGTCCCTTCCAACTTTTTTATTATTATTGTTATTAAGCATTAACAGCCCAAGGGGGGAAATCACGCATTCCAACTGGCCAATTGTATGTTACCAGTGAACCCCTATCAACTGATCTGTTATTCAAAGTATTTAGACTTTACTTTCAAACATTATTGTCAGACTGGCCCACAAAAGTTGGGCCATCATTCTACAAAATATCTATAAAATGCTGGATTTAGGAATATGGATTCCTATTGAATTGATACATGTAAGGAGAAGGCCAGGCAAAAATTAGCCATATTTGTTGGTTCAATGAGATCATCCTTACGGAATCTCTCTTATCAACACATAGATTACCTATCACAACCTGCTATCAACATTACATCAAATCCTTCATGAAACTAAGCTGGCTGAGTCTTCATACAGCATCAGCCTAGACAAGGCAGGCTGCTGCCCATAAGCAGCTGATGGCACTAAAGGAAATGTCTCTAGAGCAGGGGTCCCCCAACCTGTGGGCCACGGCCCACTCCTGGTCCGGGGCCTGCTGGCCAGTGGGCCGTGGAACAGGCTGGCCAGTGCACACACAAGTGCGCATGTGCTCACCCCCACTCGCACCGCTGCCGCTATGCAAATGGGGCATCACACGGTGAAAACGGGGTCCCACACGGCAAAAACAGGACACTGCATGGTAAAAACGGGGCACCACGTGGCAAAAACGGGGAGGTGCTAGCGCTTGCGTGGCAAAAACAGGGCAGTGCTAGTATCACATGGACACTAGTACTGTCCCATTTGCGTTGCTCATGCTCGTGGCCCCGTTTGTGTATGCATGCACATAAAATGCTTCCCCCTCTCTTCCCCTCCAGTCCACCAACCAAAAAAGGCTGGGCACTCTATAGTGTCTCTTAGCCTCATAGCCTATTTCTAAAAGAGGCAACTGGCCCACTCTTGCTCCTGTCATCTATTTCCTTTCCTCATGCCCACTGCTTCTTTGCCCCTTGTGCCACTGGCATTGCTTTTCTCAAGCTGAATGGGAATAGTAGCTGAAACCCAATTTCTATGCTTCTCTGCCTCTCCAAAGCGATTAGCCCTTCACATCTATATGCATATATGGAACAAATAGAATAAAACATTCTATGTGAAACCTTTCCATCTCCAAGCAAATAATTTCAAGGGATGTTCTGTGCTGGAAGCCGAAGTTTTTTTTTTTTATAATTATGTTTATTGTTTTTATCATTTTACTAAGTGCCTCCCACAGTCACTTTTTATGAGATGGACAGCCACATAAATTTGACAATGAGTGTATGTATGTATTAATCAAGGGGAATATTTGTAGCTCAGGATTGACACATACATAAGGGGTCCTTGGTGCTCTCTGAGCTTGTTTGTTTTCTTGTAGATGTTTCATTATCCAAACTAGATAAAATCATCAATGCTGATGATCTTACCTAGTTTGGGTAATGAAACGTCTGCAAGAAAACAAGCTCAGAGAGCACCAAGGACCCCTTATGTATGTGTGTACATACGTACTACGTATGTTCTGGGGGCTGCTAAACTAGTTCGACCTTAAATACAACTGTCCAGCAAATTGGAACAGGCTTGTTTTGGGGTCACAAAAGTTTTGAAAAACTTGGAATGGAGGCAAAAATTGGTGGGTTTCAAGGTCTGCAGCCTGACTGATGATGTACCGTTTAACACAGTCTGCCTCTATTACTTTTCTCTTTAAAGAGCAGAGGACTTGTAGAGAGATGAGAATAATGAACTGCAACTGTCACACAACCTTCCTGTCAAATTACTCATATCTCTTTTGCTTTAGCGTGCCTTAAAAATCTGAAGCTATCCAAGCCCTGAGGTCAGTTTCAAAGGCCTATTCAGAAAGTCTTCTACCAGGGAGAACAGTCTCTCAATTTTGACTATGAAGCACACCACATTTAAACACCATCTTTCAGATTACGCGCTCCATTTTATTGTTTCAGGTTATTCAGGTTTTCAGTTTTATTCTTTCCTTATTCATATCAGAATGTGCATGTCACTTCTGTTCTTTGAAAAACAGGATGTAAATGTAATTAATAAACTAAAAAGAAGGCACAGGGATCGAAGTGCAGACTGACAAGGCATACTATATTGTTTTAAATATTCCACTGGGGCCACTATCGGTTACTGTTGTTGGTGATCAAATTGCCTATCTGAATTTCCAGGCATATAAAAATGTTGTCATGAAATAAGAGGGTTCATGAAATAAGAGAGTCCTACAACAGTTAAAAGCACTGCTGATGCCGAAGAATCATTTCAAGCCATCCAATATAATGGCTTTATATGGCTTACATAATATTATATTGTAATGGGAACTACTGATTCACTTACCTCACCGGAAAATTGTGGTCTGGGTTTATTCTTTCCAACAAGCTATAAAGCTGGAGAGGAGAAAGACATCAGAAGGTTAGTTAGTTTTTAAAATCATGTTAAAATCATACAGGACAAAGGCAGTTTGACCCAAGCAGTTTATCATGTGAACATTCTCCAAGGCTTCCTGGGCTTAGAGCAGTGTTTCTCAACCTTGACAATTTTAAGGCATGTGGACTTCAACTCCCAGAATTCCACAGCCAGCAATGCTGGCTGTGGAATTCTGGGAGTTGAAGTCCACATGCCTTAAAATTGTCAAGGTTGAGAAACACTGGCTTAGAGGTTGTCTGAGGAAGCCAAAAGTTCTCTCTCAGATACAGATTCAGCCTATTTTTACAAACTGAAAGGACTTCCACATTTACAAACCAGCCTGCCTGGCTTTCTGATGATTTCACATGATTCATATTTTGTGCAAATAAAATAAAAACATTCTATTCACAACTAAACTATGTACTAAATTCTAAGCCGCACTAATGCAAATTTGGAACTGTTCTATGAGCTGTAGTTTAGAAGAAGACAAAAGACATAAGAACACCTAAGTGTAGGAAAAGACGTTAAAGCATAAGATGCTATTTACATGAAATGACTTTTTAAGAACAACATGGATAAAGTAAACCCTTGTTTCCCCTCTGTTGTGCTCTATATGATGCAGCCAAATGTTCACATTTCACTTACAGCCCAATACTGCAGCCAGGACATTTACCTCTTGATGCCGGTTTCCTTCTCTGATATAGACACTTGCCAAGTTCGTCACGATAAAAGCCCACAATTCCTGATGGGTGGTGAGCTACAGCACAGAAAACAGATATATAACAAACAAAAAAAAGGTTAAAGTACTTTCCCCTTCTTATAAAGTAATCCTCAACTTACGCCTGGTCGTTTAACAACCATTTGGAGTTACAACATCCTTGGAAAGGGTGATTTATAGCCTGTAAAACACCTCCAGCCATTTTAAAAATGTTGTGCTGCTCCCTTATGGTTACATAAGCACATTTTAAGGACTTGGCAACCAGCTGGGCATTTATGACCAGCTGCAGTTTGCTTCCCAGGGTCATGTGACTGAGACTTGCTATTTATTTTGCCCATTTCTGGCAAACAGTGCCCATGTATTTGCTTAACAATTGCAAGGTTCAACTTACATCCATGTGATTCACTTAAATGCCTTGAGAACAGCTGAGAAATCAGGTCCGACCACATGGATGCTTCCACTTAACAACCACTATGACTTACAACCAAAATTCCAGTCCCAGTTATGGCTCTAAGCCAGGGGTAGTCAACCTTGGCTCTTTTATGACTCGTGGACTTCAATTCCCAGAATTCCTGAGCCAGCTTAGCTGGCTCAGGAATTCTGGGAGTTGAAGTCCACGAGTCATAAAAGAGCCAAGGTTGACTACACCTGCTCTAAGCCAAGGACTGCCTGTATAGCTCACAGCAATAGGAGTCTGCCAAGTTGCTTAATCAAATGTATTATTTGAAAAGCAGACTTGTACCCACAAGCACAAAACAAAAGAAGAAAGCCATGCTGCACGAATGTCAAACTTGATCGCGTCACGTGACGTATCACGACGGGTTTTTTGCCTTAGCAGAGCCGGGGTGGGCGTGGCCTGCACGTGACGCATCCGGCCCAGAGGCCACCAGTTTGACATCCCCTGCCATACTGAGTGCAACCTTACCCGAAGTGCTGTGGTAAACTGCGCTTCTGCGTTGTCCATGCAGTTCACAGAAATGCAGTACAGCCCCTTAAATGGAAAACAGCATTTCAAGAAAAAATATTTTGGTAATTAAGAAAATGTGGGGGAGGGAGGGTGGAAAGTGTACATGGTGTGTAGATTTTTGTTCCCAGTATAGATCTACAGCTGGGGTCTTCAAATTTGGCCCCTTTATGACTTGTGGACTTCAACTCCCAGAATTCCTCAGCCAGCGTGCCTGGCTGAGGAATTCTGGGAGTTGAAGTCCACAAGTCATAAAAGGGCCAAGTTTGAAGACCCCTGATCTACAGTATATTCACAGTTCAGTACAGGTAATCCTCAACTTACCACAGTTCATTTACTGATTGTTCAGTTACAACGGCAATGAAAAAAGCGAGTTATGACTGCTGTTCACACTTAACCATTGCAGCACTCCCATGGTCACATGATCAAAATTCATGTCAACTGACTCCTATTTATGACGGTTGCAGTGTCCCAGGATCATGTGGTCACCTTTTGTGACTTTCTAATAGGCAAAGTCAATGGAGAAGTCAGATTCGCTTAACAACCAGGTTAATAACTTATCAACTGCAGTGATTCACTTAACAACTGTGTCAAGAAAGGTCGTAAACTGGGGCAAAACTCACTTAACAAAATGTCTCACTTAACAATAGAAATTTTGGGCTCAATTGTGGTCGTAAGTCGAGGACTACCTGTATGCTTTAGCAGATATGAATCTAACTTCTCTTCCCATCTGAGAATGCAGCAGAAATTCCAGAAGAGAAATAAACATATTCCTTCTCCTTGTAACATGGCATTAAGCTTCGGAATGATATTGCCCTACTTTTTTCTCCACTTAAATATTTCATTTAAATCCTTCTGTTGTCAGTGTTGGTCTTCAATAGAGTTCATTACAGCAATTCATATCTGTTTCTTCTTCTTTACGTAACTTCAATGAACATTCATGATATTAATCTGAATTTTCCTATTCCCGGCCTTTTAACCTTATCCTCAACTTCCTTTCAAGCTCATCCTCTTGACCTGAGGAGGAAACTCGAGCATTTTCGAAATAATCTCAATAGAAATGTTGCTTCTGCGTGTACACACAGCACAGATAACTGGGGAAAACTGTCCACCTAAATCCCTGCTCACATGGATTAAGGAGGATTTATTGAAGGCCCTCTTCATCTACAGCAGGGCTTTTCAACCTGTGGTACGGGTACCACCTGTGGTACATTGGCACCTGGCAGGTGGTACGCGGCCATCCTAGAAAAGTGGTAGCGGGGGAGGGGAATGAGCTGAACCGGTGGCAGCACCGCACAAGCCTGAGCCAGAGATGGCTGGAGCTGCAGGGCTGTCAGGGCTCAGCGGAAGCGCCAGGATCAGCACCAGGCTCCAGCTGGAGCTCAGCGCTGATCCTGGCGCTTCTGCTGAGCCCAGAAGAAGTGCCGATCAGCTGGAATGTTGCAGCATCTCCAGGGTCTTGTGATTTACATTCAGATGCTTGGCAATTGATTCATATTTATGACGGTCACAGTGTCCCAGGGTCATGTGAAGTGACTAAAACCTGCTGCAATCACCCAGCAGATGGGGGGAATAAAAACCAAACACCCCCACCCCACCCCCGCTGCCAATCCTCAACAGAAATGCTCACAATAATGAAAACCTTGGACAGGAGGAAGAGTGTGGGCGGGTGGGCAGGCAGGTGTCTTCCTCGGCTGTGGCTTGGGGGGCACTTTTTTCAGTGCCGTTGTAACTTTGAACAGTCACTAAGCGAACTGTTGTAAGTTGACGACTACCTGTACTTTATCACTTTTTTCCTTTTGGGGGAGGTCACCAAGTTTTTGACACCTTGCTAGGCAACTGGTGGTACTCAAATATTGCCATATCCTAAAAGTGGTACCATGGGTGAAAAGGTTGAAAAGCCCTGATCTATAGTAGGAGTGGGGAACCATGCTGGCTCAGGAATTCTGGGAGTTGAAGTCCACAAGTCATAAAAGGGCCATGGTTGTCCACCCAATCTATAAAAACTGAAAGAATTTCAACAAATTCACAGCAAGGCCAAAGCCTTAGAAAACGGGAGGAATAGTCAAGTTAAGAAGCTCTTTCTCTCCTGTTTATGCTGGGACAACTGAATTGCTCAATGAAGGTACAGGTAGCCTTTGACTTACAAGCATTTGTTTAGTGACTGTTCAAAGTTACAACAGCACTGAAAAGAGTGACTTACAACCCATCCTGCACTTACAATCGTTGTAGCACACACACGCACGGTCACATGATCAAAATTCAGGCACTGGGCAACCAGCAAGTATTTACCATACTGTACCATCCCAGCCTCATGGGATTGCCATCTGGGACCTTCAGGCAAGCAAAGCCAATGAGGGAAGCTGCATTTGCTTAAGGATGGCATGATTCACTTAATTGCAGTGATTTGCTTAACGACCATGGCAAAAAAAAAAAAGTTCGTAAAATCGGGTGTGACTCACTTAACAGCTGCCTTGCTTAGCAATAGAAATTCTGGTCCCTGTTGTGATCGTAAGTCAAGGGTCTTCAAACTTGGCCCTTTTATGACTTGTGGACTTCAACTCCCAGAATTCCTCAGCCAGGCACGTGTGCCTGGCTGAGGAATTCTGGGAGTTGAAGTCCACAAGTCATAAAAGGGCCAAGTTTGAAGACCCCTGTCGTAAGTCAAGGACTGCCTGTACTTGTTTCTAAAGCCTTGTGGGGCTCCATTTGTTTGAAAACTGGCAGCTTTTCAATGAAGGGAACTCCAGTTTCCCCACACTGAATAAAATTCTACAGGTTCATGAAAACCTAGTTTTACAGGCATCGTGGTATACTTCAGGAACTGGGAAGTTATACTCACCAGAAGAGCATGTAACTGAGCAGCATGATTAGAAAACAGCCTGGGAGATTGCTGACAGAGCTGGCATACCTGTGAAATCTTGGCGCAAACAGAAGAGAACATGACTTAATATCCGAGGTGATTCTCAACGATGCTTCTGACTTACCCAGCCTAGAAGGGTTCACTTCCTTTCTTTGCCTTCCACTTTTCTGACACAACTGCTGACTCCAGTTGCACTTTGGGGATTGCTTAATTGTTTTGTAAAATCGCTTTCCTGATGCTGCAACATCCCACCCCCTCAAGTAGAAAACATATCAGGTAAAACTTCACTGTGGGACTTTGGCCAGCTTTCATTTCATTTCACCATGCTTTACAAAAGCTACCTATAATTTGCAATGCTGAAAATGGCCAGAATAAGCCCATTCGTGGCTCTTGGATGCTCTCAGAATAAGTTGGAAGTTGGAAGGGACCTTGGAAGTCTTCCAGTTGAACCCCCTGCTCAAGCAGGAGACCCTATCCCATTTCAGACAAATGGTTGTCCAGTCTCTTCTTAAAAATTTCCAGTGTTGAAGCACCCACAACTTCTGGAGACAGCTTTTTCCACTGATTAATTCTTCTAACTGTCAGGAAATTTCTCCTTAGTTCTAGGTTGCTTCTCTCACTGATTAGTTTCCATCCTTTGCTTCTTGTCCTGCCTTCAGGTGCTTTGGAGAATAAGTTGGCCCTCTCTTCTTTGTGGCAGCCCCTGAGATATTGGAACACCGCTATCATGTCAACCCTAGTCCTAATAGCAGTGTTCCAATATGTAATGGGTTGCCACAAAGGAGAGGGAGTCACGCTATTTTCCAAAGCGCCTGAAGGCAGGACAAGAAGCAACAAATGGAAACTAACCAAGGAGAGAAGCAACCTAGAACTAAGGAGAAATTGCCTGACAGAATAATTGTGGCAGTGACATTCCAAGGCTTCCAAGACTATCTCCTTTTCAACAACCACAAAGAGTGGTGATTTCAGCTGAGCCTCCATCCATCTGTTCCCACCACCACCAGTTCCAAAGGACACCGAATAACCTAAAGCAGTGTTTCCCAACTATGGCTGGCTGAGGAATTCTGGGAGTTGAAGTCCACAGCCCTTAAAATGGCCAAGGTTGAGAAACCCTAATTCTAAAAGCAACGCAAGTCTTTACCTCTTGCAGGGCTGTAGCTTTGTGCCCTGTGACCAGCCGGCACATGATGATATGTTCCAACAAGATGACTTGGAAAGATGATAAGATGGGGCTGCAGTCGAGCACTGGAAGGAAAGAAATGATGCAGTTCAGGAAAAGAAAAGAAAAAGGAGAAAGGGAACAGCTCAGCCAAGCTGAATGTTGTCGACTTAAGACCGGTTGCTTAGTGACTGTTCGAAGTTATGACGGACACCCCTCAAAAAGGTATTTACAACCTGGTTCGGAAGTTCTGACATCCAATCTCCCCCTTCTCATATAATTATGTGACCAATTTTGGGTACTCAGCAACTGGCCTAAATCTGTGGCCATTTGCAGGGTCCCGTGGTTGCGTGACCGCAATTTATGACTTTTTTTAGCCCAAAACCAGCCTTTACTTCAGGTGTTTGCTTGAGAAGCACCACACAAAGGGTTGTAAAATCAGATCGGTGAATGTGATGACCCGCTTTATAACTGTTGTGACTTATGACCGTAATGGGCAAGCTCCATTACGGTCATAAGTCAAAACTACCTTTGTTTTTCTGAAGCGGGCAGTAATATTTTAGCTTATAAAAGCAATTGCTCAAAAATCTTGGGAACATGGGGCATTTTGCTAAAGCTAAGGCTGGCAAAAACACCCTCTATCCCAGGGGTAGTCAACCTTGGCTCTTTTATGACTCGTGGACTTCAATTCCCAGAATTCCTGAGCCAGCTTAGCTGGCTCAGGAATTCTGGAAGTTGAAGTCCACGAGTCATAAAAGAGCCAAGGTTGACTACCCCTGCTCTATCCTATTCTTCCCTCAGTGCAAGGTAGAAGAAATATGCCAAAAAAGATCCTGCCACAAGGATCAGGTGATTCTTTCCGGCACTGCTAAATTGAAAAGCAAAGTGATATTGGTTCCTTTCCTTAAGTTCAGAAAAGATCTTGGCTAACTATGCAACTCTGAATGAGCCAAAACCAAGAACAGTGTTCAGAAACGCTGAAAAAGGACATTAGTACTCTGAAAAAGCAACAATAAATGTAAAAGGGAAAATAGAGAGAAATGGAGCATGCAAGTCGGGGCATTCAAGAACAGAATCTCTGTGAAAACACACACCAAAGAAGTTTACTCTGCTCACTTTTGAGTTTTTCTAGCTGCATCAGGGCTTTGTCGGTGTACTTCTGGGCCTTCTCCAAATATCCAGCCTGCATCGAATGCATCACAGTCACCTGGCAAAAAAAAACAACCCCACATTTGTTTTGCAGATCATTTTGCAATCCTGAAACAAATTGCTTCAATGTTCTCCCTGCTGCAAATTAACATTACTAGTTTTACATGGAAAACAAAGACAGGACAGAGTTCTAAATGATATAACATGCAGTTAGCAACACTGTGAATGCCCATGCTGACACGCCACCTGCGCAATTACAACAGGCACATCCATCTTCCTTACAGCAGGGCACATGGCCCTGCCAAATTGTCCTCACTGAAAAAGCCTTCTCACCAAGGATACAATTAATGTACAAAAAACAGAAAGCTACGCCTTTACTAATATTACAGGGTGATTTTTGTTAATAAAACAAAATAAAACTTTATCGAATTTCAAAAGAGGAGGAGGAGGAGGAGGAGGAGGAGGGGGAGGAGGAGGAGGAGATGGTTTAAATCAGTGTTTCTCAACCTTGACAATTTTAAGGCATGTGGACTTCAACTCCCAGAATTCCACAGCCAGCATTGCTGGCTGTGGAATTCTGGGAGTTGAAGTCCACATGCCTTAAAATTGTCAAGGTTGAGAAACACTGGTTTAAATGATTTAAAAAGAAAAAGAAAGGGGAAAGCAGGAAAAACAAAATTGGGTGGTACAGAGAGAAAAGGACAAAAGGTTAACTTCCGACTTTCTCTAGTACAGATACAAGCATGAAATGCAAGTAGAGTAAACCATATCACAAAATATTTCTGAAGTTAAAAACAGTTCTACTCATCAAATCCCAAGGTTACATTTTCATTTCTTTCAGTTTTAAGCTAAAGTCCGAAAACTGTTTCCAAACCACTATCTCAGAATTCCTGATATCTAAAGGTTAGACCAGGGGTCCCCAACCCCCTCCATGGACCAGTACTGGGCCGCGGCATGCCAGCAACCGGGCCACACAAACAAGCAAAGCCCCATCCGTGGGATGCAGGCAGCACATGAAACCACGCCCCTTCCAGTCCACGGAAAAACCTCTCTCCACGTAACTGGTCCCTGGTGCCCAAAAGGTTGGGGATCTCTGGGTTAGACCATTAGACCATCTCTAGTCCAGGGGTGTCCAACCTTGGCCACTTTAAGACTTACGAACTTCAACTTCCAGAATGCCCTAGCCAGCCATACTGGCTGGAGAATTGTGGGATTGGCAGTCCACAAGTCTTAAAGTGGCCACAGTTGGACACCCCCAATCTAGCCAATGCTGACAATACCTGATGATAACAACTCCCCAAAGTCTCCAGAAGTAAAACCCCTCTGCTATTAGACATTCTGTTAGCTGAAAGCCCCGGGACTAAAACTGGGACATTTCTGCAAGGAAAGAAAGGACTCTATCAATGAGTTATGATGCTCTTGGGAAACCTTGCCATCTTGTGAGCCCATTCGGCTCAGTATGGTCTGTTAACATGAGTGGTGGCTTTCCAAAGCCACCCATTGAGGTCTTTCTCACCACATGCTGCCTAGAAATGTTGGTAATTAAACAGAAGGCATCAATTATTTGGAATACATTTTAAACGAAAACCAAAATCACCCAGAGGAAAGAAAAGCCAGTAATGCACCCCAACACTGCTAGCTACTGAAATTATAATTAGGATACTAGAGGAGCACTCTGGATCCTGTGATTAGGACGCTGGGTTGGAAGTTAGCAAGCCTGCGTTTGAGACCCGAGGGCTGCTGTGGGACAGGGTGAGCTCCCGTCCTTTTGCTCCAGCTCCTGCTGGGGACATGAATGAAGCCCCCAACTGGGTGTCCCCCAGGCAACGGTAATGTCACCGGCTCATCTTTTCAACCTGGAAGCACCTCGGTGCTTCTGACTGGAGTGCGATGCGATTGGGATATTGCCATGATGAGGTTAAAGGAGAAATAGGGAGCTCCTTCTTTATGTGGAAAGGACTATTTCCTCAGCCCCTGATTCCTGAAAAGCCCCCGTTGGATGGATCGGTGCATAACTTATTTTGGCAAGATCAGATGCAGCATCTCACCAGGTAAACCAGCACACACATGTGCTCCTTGGGCAGCCAATGGAAGAGGTCTGCAGGGTTGCTGGGCAGGATCTCATCATCGTGAAGAGTTGAGATGGTCTGGATGCACTGCTGCAGCTGCTTTAGACATGGCTTGACACTCTTCACCTGAGGAACAAAGTCAAAACCAAACATGACGCCCAAATCAAAGGCGCCATACTTCCTAGGTCAGGGGTGGGCAACCTTGGCTCTTTTATGACTCGTGGACTTCAACTCCCAGAATTCCTGAGCCAGAATTCTGGGAGTTGAAGTCCACGAGTCATAAAGGTTGCCCACCCGTCCTAGGTCAACCATACATTTTGAGGGCTGTTCTCTTCTTCTCCATTCATCTTCTCTAATGATGGAACATTAAAGATCTCTGAAGATTCCTGTCAAGCTTACATTCATTTTTTTATCTTCTTCCACTCATCGTTCCTTCATAGATTTGCTCTGTGATTCTATTCTAGAGTAGTCCTCGACTTACGACTTGTCGTTTTACAACTGTTTGGCATTACAACAGCCTCGTAACAGGTGCTCTATGGCCCATAAAGTACCTCCAGCCGTCGTAAAATGTGCCCCCGTAGCAATCAAGGGATTGCATTTTGAGTGCTTGGCAACCTGCTTACCTTGATCGGCTGCAGCATCCTGCAGTCGCAGGACACCGATTTGCGACGTTTTTTGCTGGTTTCCGGCCAAAAAACCCACCCACTAGGAATCACGGGTTCGCTTAACAACCATACCTTTCATTTAATGACCGCTATGAAAAATGTCAAAAATAAAAAAAGGTCCGGTCACACTGGTGCCTCGATTTACAATTACAACAAGCTACAACCAGATTTTCCAGGCCAGATAGTGGTTGGGACTCATTTCCTTCGTGACTACAGTGGCCACTTTAAAACTGCCACAAAAAAAAAGAGAGAGATCATAAAATTGGATCGGTCACGTGGGTGATCCACTTTACACCCACCGCAGACTTAGGGCTGTAAAGGGGAGGCTCCACTACGACTGTTAAGTCGAGGACTACCTGCTCTTAGGTTGCGAGCAAGGATCTTCTATCATGGAAGGTCCCCTGAACTGTTTCCACTGACCTGACCAGCATCCAGGTAATGCGTCACCTGGAGGACCAAGAAGAAGACCCGCAATGACTCTTTCTGGATGGGATTCCCTTGCCAGTTCTCAACGATCTGCCCGCACAGCGTAAGCAGTGGATGCACCTCCTGCAGTTTCCTCTCCATGAGGAGCAGCTATCCAGGAGAAAGGAACAAGGAAAGAAATGACTTGAAGTTTCAGAACGCTTGATAAGCGCATCTTCTTCTCCAGCTTCAGGCTTCCTTCGTCTTGGATTTATCTTCTCAAGTGAAGGAGAAAAACAAAAAGGTAGCACAGGTAGCCCTCGACTTGCAACCACGACTGAGTCCCAAATTTCTCTTGCTAAGCGAGAGTGCCATTAAGTGAATTTTTTTACAACCTTCCTCGCCACAAACCTGTTAAGCCAGGGGTGTCAAACTCAATTTCATTGAGGGCCGCATCAGCACTGCGGTTGCCCTCGGGGTGTGTGTGTGTGTGTGGCCAGGGTGGGTGCGGCCTACTGGGTGGGCGTGGATGGAGTGGGTGTGGCCTACAGGGTGGGCATGGCCAGCTCTACATTGTTCGCGTCAAGGGTGCCTGTGGGGGCCTGGGCAGGAGTGGGACAGATCTGAGGGTCTCTGGCAGAAGTGGGTGGGATCGGGGCAAGCGCCAAGGCATGGTCCATTTCTTCATTCCTCACAAAGGGTGACACCTCCCCAGCATGCACCCAGGGTGCGGGGCCGACATGGCAGGGGCTGGTTCCTCGCTGTTTCCAGACATCCTTGTGGAGCTAAGACTGAATGCGTTGCAGCATAGATGGCCACCACAAAATTGTACATTGGCTCCTGGACGGCCTGGGCCAGGGCCAAGGCAGTGGGGGCCGTTCCTTCACTGTTTCCAGGATGGCTTCGCGGGCCACATGAAACCACTTCGCGGGCCGCATCCGGGCCCCGGGCCTTGTGTTTGACATGTCTGTGTTAAGCCAATATTGAAGTTATTAAGGTTAGTAACACAGGGTGGTTAAGTGGAACTGGCTTCCTTCCTCACTGACTCTGCTTGTCAGAAAGTCACAAAGGGGGAATGACATGAGCCTGGGACACAGCAATTGTCATAAATATGAGCCAGATGCCCAGTGGTTGAATTTTGATCATGTGACCATGGGGATGTTGCAACAGTTGTCAGTGTGTGAGAAACGGTCGTTAGTCACTTTTTCCAGTGCCGTTGTTAACTCTGAATGGTCACTAAACCAATGGCTGTAAGTTGAGGACTACCTGTTTTAAGTGTGGGAAGGAGAGTTCTTTCTAAGTCCTCAGTTTGGTGCTTAACTTGGCTTCTCATCGTTTCGAGATAACCCCAAAGAACATACCAAAAATAACAACATCAAAAATAAGTTACGGTAGCCCAATTAGAACGGAAATAGGTAAAAATTCAACTACAGGTTCCAAGATGGCTCTTTCTCAGTGGTTCTCCTGTATGTGCAACACCAAACTTAGCATTACAATTTATACCTTCCATGCCAATCGCTTGCAACTGATTTATACACACTATACTAGGTA